TCATTAGCAGTGCTAGTGTCTTCGGATTTGCTTCTGCCTTTCATACTTTACATGTTCCCTTTAGGTTTGCTTGCTGGTTGGGGTTGGTTAATTTTCAGATTTTGAGACCATGTACATGGTTTCACTGTTTTTCTCTGAGCACTTAATCTTTGCCAGCCAGACCATTTTTAGTCATGTTGTATAATTCTTTTACTTTTACATCTCACCTCCAGCTGTATTTTATTATAGAATTACATATTCACTGAATGAACTTGCACCTTTCCAGAGTGAAGAAATGTTTTTTTATTTTGTTTCACTCCAGAAGTCTCACGAAGAGCGGGCAGTTTGAAAGATGGGATAGGTGACATGTTAGACCTGGAAGACCATAATAATCTCATAGATACAATACAAAAGTTCTATCCCACTGTTTAAATTGAACGTGGTTTGGACGTTTATTCTTGATTTTTGTCTACGCAGTGCACGTTCTTTACCTTCTATCTCAGACATGACCGTACTGCAGAACTTTCCCAGGCCGCTGAAGTCAATGTCACTGGTTTTATATAATCAGCCATGTCATTTTCCTGAAGGCTTGAATTGCACTCTGCAGCTTCCTCCTGTTCCTGGGTTTGTTGTAGGTGCTTTCCTGGCCTGTTCTTTCTGTTTGTTCGTTCTAATTATTGGATTAGAAAGCTGATAAAAGAGAGCAGAAGAAAATGCAGTGTCTCAGATGAATTATTCTCTTTGTGTCTGTACTTCAGCTCATGAGAATAGACACTGAAATGAGAGGGAGTGTAATGGTTTCAGACTACATCTGAAAAGGGGTAAGTGCTTCAGTTACAGACTCAAGCTGTACAGTAGCAACTTGCTCTGAGCTCTTGGTTATGAAGAGAAAGATTTTGATGATTTAGGTTTATGTTTCCTGAGACTCTTCTGGTAATGAACTTTGTTGCTTCCTTCCCCTCAGGGAAGGATAAAAAAATACTAAAATTAATTCCAGAGGCTTTTGTACTCTTTGGACGATGCACAATACTAGTTTAGCTCGGAGGATGAAGTTCCTTTAGTGTGTGATAATTACAGCTGATCAGGAGTGTCTCTGGTTTAAGTCTGTTGCATCCTGCTCCTCTGTGGCAGTGGACAGTCATGTGCTGTGCACAAAATTAAACATTAATGCATTAATTCACAAACATTTTTTGTGTGTGGTGGGGTGTAAGGTTGTTTAGAGGTATTAAATGAAGAGGCTTTTAAATTATTCAGATCTGCAAATGTTGTTCAGCACCTAGGTGTGAAGATCCCGGAGGTCTGGTTGCAGTAAAGCATTATAGGGAAATGTAAGGGAAATGCCAAGTTGTGAACAGCTATGATAAGTTAAGACATCTAGGCTAATTCTTTTAAAAACAGCCATGTTACAGGCAACAGCAAAACGAACGTGATCTTGTTATGTTCTTTGGAAATTGTCAGGGAAGTCAGACAAAACAATTTGATACAGTATTATTATCCTGTTTTTTTTTAGCTTTATACATTTGATAGAGCTATCATGCCACTTAGTCTACTTTTTGTGCAGACTTTAAATGCTAGAAGTAAAAAAAAAAAACATGCCAGTGTTTGTGATGTAGGTGGTATAGCACTGCGGCTTGACAATATATATGTAATTACCTCCCATATCTATATCGTATAAAACATGATCTCTGTCTCTTGTTGACTTTAAGTCAAGGCGGTGTATAACACTGTAGTCCAGTTATGGAAATCCAAAGCACCAGTGATATGAGAACATTTATCCGGCACTTTTCATCCCATATCAGACTACTTTACGCATTCAGTAGGAAGGGACCTATTTTACTCACCTCTGTAGTGCCCCCACATTGGTGATAGGTATCAAATTTTATGCACCAGCAGCCTCACTATACAGCAGATCAGCTGGAATAGTGAGAAATTGCTTCACAAAGTAGAACACAGAAACCAAGTCTTGAGGGATTAGTCATTGTCCTGGAGAAAGGGATGAGCTGATGGCTGGAGTCTCACTGTTGCAGGATAAGATGTCATCTTGACATCGTGACAGCGGGTTGGATTGGCTACAGTCGCTGTCTTGGCAGCAGAAGGGAGCCAGGTGAAGCCTCTCAAAAAAGATCAATTAATTGCTGAGACGATTTGTTCCAAAAGGTTTAACCAATGGTCTCAAAGTCTTTCAAGCTGAACGATTGTGCTGTATAAACAGGCTTTTTTCTCAATTAAAAATATGTGAAAGGAAGAAAGCTTGCCTCTCTCTCCACTGAATGCATAAAGGAGAGACTGGTGCTGCATGAGAAAGGGTTTTGCAGAAATGAATTAGTCTTAGTTGGTTTCAGGGTTGACCCCAGAAACATGAATACAGGGTACATATTTTAGTGGCTAAAGAACTATTAACATAAGTTAACAAATGCAGACAGTATTCCTTCAGAGTTATAAATTAATCAATAGTTCTTGGCTCAACTCCCAAGCTCTTTTGGGTAACCTCAAGGATGAGACTGGCAGCAGTCACAGTAGGACTGGTGTCCAGAAGCATTAGTAACTGATTTGGCACACAAGACAGGTAGTTACCCTGTGAACAAAAGCTGAAGAAAGATGTTGAAAAAGCAAGCCACAAGCATGCCCCAGTTCTTTAGACTCCTTACACCAGAGCCAGAGAGTGTGTGCTCTGCAGTCGGCACAGTCTAATCAAGGGCAATGTTAATTGTGAAGGCCAGATATTCCCAATTTCCTTATAAATGCTAAACAATCTTTTTTTTCCCTTGGAAATTCCTGGTTTGTTTGGCAATTTGTGGGTTTGCCATCATTCGGACTGAGACATTTCCTCCAGGAGTGAAGTGCAGGAGTTTCGCTCTCTGGGTGATGGTTTCGGGGTGGAGGCTGGGAGGGCGCCCAGTTAACTGTTTGAAACAGGAGAACAGTTGGCGTTGGCTTGTCGGCACTTCTCAGGAAATTAGAGAAACCGCTACGTGGGCGTGACTGAGAGTTCTCAAGTGTTATTTCTTAATCTGACTTAGCTGGATAAGCACAATGAATAGAATTCTACACAGCTCTTCCCCCGATGTTGTGTGTTTGGTTCAGTTAGCTACAAATGGCAAATTGTTTTCACCAGATTAACAATACTGGACTTTTCTTTTCCCCCGTTTCATAGGTTGGGCCAAGAATTCTATGAAAGCAAATGATTTTTAAAGTGAAGAGAATTATTTTTCAAATTTAATTAATTCTACAACCCTGGGGCATGATTCCATTTCAGTACCCATCTTTTTCATTTTTGCTTTTGCTGTTGTCACTCTTTATTTCTCTCCTGAGCTTCACCACAGATCACAGGTGAACAGATACGTGCAATACCTGTCCCTCGGGAAACAGAGGTGCAGCCACTCTTGCTGTAGAACATGTTACGGTTTTGGATAAAATAAGCTTTTATATGTTTTTATCTTGCAATCCTGCCTATCTGTTGTTTACCGTCTTAATTTAGGTTAGAACTCTCTTGCTCATAAAGGGAAAAGTCCAGTCCTCACATTTCCCTGCTTCTGCTTGGCGATAAGGTAAAAGGTATTTCCTGCTTTTGTGCTGAACAAAAGCAGATCGTAGTGCTGTAGCTCCCCAGCGATGTGATACTGCTGTCTGCAGGATATTCAGATCGCATCATTTGCTTTGGGATAGGAACATTAAGATGCGATTATTTTCTCAGAAATGGGGACAGAAAACCAGGTTCTTGGGCAGGACGGTATCATCACATGGTGCAGCACGTGTCAGCTGCTGATTGTGACGATCTACACAGACATTCTCCGTGCATGCGGGCCACATGTCAGATTCGCCATTCCGAGGAAACAATAGTATTTCATGTTTCCTGTGTACACACTTACAATTCCCAGCTAACCATAAGCAGTCCTGCTCCTCAGATTTCCATCTCTGCTCCAGTGTTTCCAGTTTTAAGAAACCACTGAAGGAAATAACTTTCATGACTTAGAATAATATCTCTTTTGCTAGGTTTTACCAGATGGAGCCTTTCTAAATGTTGGCCTGTTAGTGCTCTCCCTTGAGTTCAGCAACATTTTACTTTTTACTTTTCCTTTCTAAATGGTGGACAGTTCTTAACAGGCTGTTTTTTTTTTGTTTAAAATAGCTTCCAGGGCTCCAACAGCACTGTAGATAATTCTGTGGAGAAAGCATGCCTGAGCAGGTGGGAGTCTGGCAAGGATTTTAAAAGAAAGGCCCAGATTTGCAGAGCAGAAAGGGGGAACTAGGAATGCCATAGTTTCTTCCTGATAAACGTATTAGCCACAGCATTTCCGTGACCGTCGGTTCTCAGTGCTTTTCTGGACACTCCACTCAAAGCGCTTCACAGGTCATGGGGACTCCCCTCCACCGCCACCAGTGTGTAGCCCCACCTGGATGAGGGGCAAATATGCTCCCCACACACCAGCTCTCAGCGGGGGCGAGAGAAGAGTGATGAGGCCAGTTCAGAGATGGGGATTATTAGGAGGACATGATTGGTAAAGGCCAATTAGAAATGTGTCCAGGACACCAGAGTAACACCCCTACTCTTTCTGTGAAATGTCCTGGGATTTTTAATGACCACAGAAAGTCAGGACCTCGCTTTTACGTCTCATCCGAAGGACGGTGCCTTTTTACAGTACAGTGTCCCCGTCACTATACTGGGGCATTAGGACCCACACAGACCGCAGGGTGAGCGCCCCCTACTGACCCTACTAACACCTCTTCCAGCAGCAGCCTTAGTTTTTCCCAGGAGGTCTCCAGGTACTAACCAGGCTCACACTGCTGGGCTTCAGTGGGCTGCCAGCTGCGAGTTGCAGAGTGAAATGGCTGCTGGCTTATTCAAGCAGAGGGCTGCGCTGCATCTTTGAATTATATTTCGTGTACAGGAAGTAGCTTCGTGCTATTCGGAGATGAGTGCTTGTTTTTTTGGGGTGCTGGTCTAGCTTAATCACAGGTGTCTTATTGATTTGCTTAACTAGACTCATTATTAAGATGTTTTTCCCCCTCTCTCTTTTCAGCGGAATGAAGACTTGGAGGCGATCTGAGTGCCAGATGGGGCGGACTGCGAATTCTGTGATTCAGTGAGAAACCCTTGTGGCGAGAAGCACTGTCGATCCTGCAGGACACGCGAGATATGAGCTGGCAGGCCTCTCCGGCGCCCTGTCCATTTTAACTGTTCCGTTTCTTTGCACCTGCCCGCCTCTCAGCCATGGGCTCTGTGTACTTGTGGAAGCTCTCCTCCCAGAAGCTGGGGTTTTTCCTGGTGACTTTCGGCTTCATCTGGGGCATGATGCTCCTGCACTTCACCATCCAGCAGCGCACGCAGCACGAGAGCAGCACCGTGCTCCGGGAGCAGATCCTGGACCTCAGCAAGCGCTACATCAAGGCCCTGGCGGAGGAAAACCAGAACGTGGTCGACGGGCCCTACGTCGGGACGATGACCGCGTATGGTGAGCGGCTTCATGCTCGTTTTTTAATTGACTTGATTTTGTTAGCAGGTGTTCACAACATTAGTATAATTAACGTAAGGTTGGTGTCTGCGAAAACATTAATGAAAACCAGATGGATTGTATTTAGAGTAGAGTGTATTGTTATTCAGTAACCACATTTGGCTGATGCTTTTATTTTTTTGTTTCCAAGGTGACTTCTTTTACGATTTATGCCCATTTATACAGCCGAATATTTTACTGCATCAATCTTGGTGAAGTCCCTTGCTCCAGGGTACAACAGCCCTGCCTTAGGTTTAAACCTACGGCCGTTAGGTTACTAGTCCACAATCCTGACCACAACGTCGCAAGAAGACAGTTCAGTGGTAGGTAGTAGAAGTCAGTCAAAGTGGTTATTTGTCTTTATCTGGCAAATGATTCTCATCCAACACAGCTAACATTGGAGTCCGGGGACATTATTCCTGCTCACTTATTTATTAGTGAGGTATACTGCAGCAATCTTTGTGATATACCTTGCTCAGGGGTACAACAGCAGCAAGGCCGTACTCAGGATTCAAACCCTCTGCCTTCAGGGTTACCATAGGCTGCTGCCTCAATTGCACAGTTCTGCCCACTCTGTGCAGGCTGTCTACTTTGTGATGGCATCTGCATGATATTGTTCTGGCCTTTCATCCAGACAGAGGATTTATGAGACACAAACCCCTCAAGGAGAAGAAATTCTTGCCAATCAGTGTCATCACCTTCTCCTAAGGGAACAGATTGTTTTTCTGTTTGGATAAATGCCTCTCAAGGACACAGAAGAGACCTGGAATGCGTGGTGCACCTTAGAGACTCATGTAATTCATTATCTTTGCCCTTGTTCAGTATACTTATTAAGAGGCACTTCAGTCATCTATAATCAGAGTGGATTTACGCCGACGAAAGCAAAGTGCTTTTCTGCTCCTGTACAGTTGTTTTCACATTTTGTGAGAACAGTTGGAAAGCTCTGCAGTTCATGAGAAACTGAATGGGCAGGTCTGTATCTTTCCATAATGAAATGAAAATAACAATTCACTCGAAAGAGTCCCCGAGCAAATCGGGCATTTCAAATTAATATTTCATGGAGATACAAACACTTGAATCTGACTTGAATAAAAATGCAATTGTTGCTCTTTTAGAGCGGTTTGAAGGTAACTGGGCGAATGATAAGAAAATGCAACCTAGTACTTGTTAACAATGTTGATGGAACAAATGTAGGATGCTGATGCTTCAAAGCAAAACACAGGCAAGACTAAGTACTCCGAGGGCTGTACTCTTGCAAAACACTCAAGATGCCTTGACGGAGCTCGTGGGACTGTCATGTCTCCTGAATGTGACCTCTGCTGCAAGTTTTATTGAATTTAAATTCTAGCCAGGTAAGCTAAAGGCTTAGATGCAGACCTGCTGCTTGGACCCCCACAGGGCTCAAAATACAACTGCAGGGGAGGCACTTGTCAAGCCGCCCTTGAGTTTATTTTAAAATGGCTTGGGTTCTTTGAGGCCTGCATTCAGAAAATTCTATTTCAGTATTTACAGATGCTAAACGTTGTAAAAAAAAAAACCTAGCTTATCTTTCAGCCTCTGAAAATGACCCAAAAATAATTTTGCTGCCGAAATGCTTTGTCAGATGTTCCACACAGTACTTGTGAATAAATTGTAGGTCATTTTGGTCTTTGACAATGACTTCCAAGATCTTCTCTTTATTTAGGCCATCAGAGACCAGCTATTAAATGTTTGATGTACTTTGGAGAAGTAGTTAGAACTGAGAAAAGGAGGCTCCTCTGTGCACAAAGGCTTGCTCTGGATCAAGCTGTCCTGCTATGTGGTCAAAGCTGATATCATGGTTTCTTTGAAGAAATGGCTGGATTAGGGCCTTGGATACATTAGCTACTGGCAACCAAATGAGCTAAATAAGACTTAATGGTCTCCTCTCGATTGTAATCTTTCTTATGCTCCCATCAGCACATTCTTAAATCATGCTAATAGTACAGTATACTCACAATGATACAAAGCCTACACAAGGGGCTAGGAACTCCTAGTTCTCCTGCATTCTTTGGAGCAGAGTGAGGGTATACATCAAATAATACAAAAAAGAGCCGGGTGGCTCCTATTGAGACTGCAAGTCCTAGAATGAGCAAAGACTGTCATCCATTTCTGCCAGAATCCATATATCACTCTGAAGAGAAACCGAGAGGGAGAATTACCTGTAAGGAGTTTATGATTACAAAAAGTTAGAGAGTGGAAATGCGATGTTTAAAGTACATCTTATAATTAATTAAATTATCAGCCTTTTTACTGATATAGTTATCTCTCTTTTTAGATTTGAGTATATTTAAACCCAGTTCTAGCACAGATGCATCTGTTTCTGGGATTATTACACTTCAGGAAATAAATGACACTCATCTGGAATGAAAACAATGACAGCATTAATTTCTTCCATATGTGCACTGTAGTTCTTTTCATCCCAGTGGATCCCAAAGCACTTTATTTACACTTCTATTTTTATAATTACTGTACTGTCCAAAAGTGTTGGGATAGCAATTTTAGTTTCTGATCATGATAATTAAAATGAATGATAAGTATAATATACATGTTTTGTGTTACACCACGCATACCAGTATTTGAAAGTATTGGAACAAGAACACCACCTTCTCTGTGAAGCATGGTGGGGGTAGTGACATGCATGGCTACATGAGTTTTATTTTGTTTTCTAATGTGATGAGCCCTGATGAAAACGAAGGGGATCTGTACATCCTCTTGGCCAGCATGTGTCAAAGTTCAGTATGATGGACTGTGTTCAACAAAGACATATGAGCACTGTTGCCTGGACACACTCTGTTAAGGTGTTATACTCATTTGTTAAAATATGATGCCTACATAGTGTGACATTTAGCACTGTTGATTTAAAGTGATTTTGTTTCCAATCTGTTTTGTTCTTTCTGTGCAAGTGTAGACGGCATGTTTGAGTTTCTGGCTGTTTCCTCTGTGCATTCTCTGACGGGCTGCAAAGTTGCCCATGCAAGAAAGTTTCACAAACGTCTTTCTTTAACACAGCTGTTTGAAACTGTTAATCCAAAGGTGAAGTACATCTCCCTGTAGTCACATACTGTACTGTCGTGGTGGGATCGCATGCTTTCAGCAAAATTACTGTCCCTGTACACAGTTCCTTCGTTAAAGCCTGACAGTGAGATATCTGGAGCAGTCAGGCAGGAAAATATAGGGTCCATCTTTTTCCCCCATCAAGTTTACCATCCTTTATATGATATTTTCATTAAAATAAATGGCATTGCCATCTCTTTTTCATGATGTTTTTCATCCATTTAATCTTTTCACTTAGTGTAGTTTGTCAGATTTTAAACATTAGATTTGACAGTCATCCAGCTTTAACCTAAAGAAATAGAGAACGACAACACATTTGCTGATGTGGTCATACATCACCGATAGCACAGCTCTGTCTTCAGCTTTTATTCGACAGTGGTGTTTCATTTGCTGCATTGCAGGTTTTTTTAATGTACTGCGCTTTGCTTTGCTCAGACGGGGAAAATCGGCAGCAGGACACTACTAACAATTACAGAAGCTGTTCCTCCGAGTAGTCTTACTGTCATCTTCTTGCAGTCGGAATAATTGCAAAAAATATAAAAGCTAACTGCAGCATAGGAATGGATAACCAATTAATGCAGTTGATAACCAGGTCTGCTTCCGTATTAGAATCTGGCATAGGCAGGTAACTTGTATATGATATATATAATATAATATAACATTATATGGTTTTGATAGAGTAGTTACTTGATGACATCTTGCTTTGCACTTTGGGTTTGAAAAGAAAGGCCAGGATTAGTTAAATGCTTTTCCATTTCATTCATGTGGGAGGTCACTCGCTGTTGAATAGTTTAGTATTATCATACGGATGGACTTTGATTAATACAGACTCAGTCATCCATGTACTTTCTGATTTAACCCACAAAATACGAATTTTAAACGGTGTGTCTTGCTGCCATTTTGGACTTCACAGGGCTGTTGAAAACACATTGGCTCCTGAGAATGAAACACTTAAGATCGACCTGTGGGCTTCAGTAAAATCTGGCATACAGTATACAGTGGAGAGCACGGAAATGAGTTTTAGTTAAAAATTATTACAGGAGACTTTGCAGTAGTCTAGTTATCTCCACAAACTGCTCCTGGCGCCAAGTGGAGAGGGCATTGATTTATTGCATTTGTGGTCAAGTGCTAAAATGAGAGAGTGAAATCCAATGTACAGTATGACCACATTATTAGAATTAGAATGATAATTATTGATCATCATTGCTATTCATACTGTAAATATACCTGTACAGTTAACTGAGAAAGCTCATTAAGAACATGAGATTATTGACTCAGCTATAGGTAGAGTGAAGAGCCCAGATGGTTGGGATTTAACTAACAGGGTGATACTATTTTAACAGTCTGTATTGTGTTCATGGATAACAGAGAAAATGCTGTAAATCAAGATAAATATAAGCTACACACAGCACATATAGACTAAAAATACAGAGATATCACACAAGAAGAATGTAGTAAAAAGGACTCTTGTAATTGGAAAAACATCTGTTCAAGAGTTTTGTAGAAACCTTTAATAAGGGGGTTGGTTGCTTATCTTTGCAAGTCTTTGGCCTCGCAGAGCAGCATCATTCCCAGCGTTTTCGATCGGAAGAAATCAAGTCTTTCTTTCTCTCCTCTTGTGATCACTAGAGGCAACAGGCTTGCTTCATTGTTTCCTGATCGGGAATAATGATATAATTAACTAACTGCAATTATCCAGGTTTTAGTTACAGTGCGAATTATCTACTGTAGTAAAAACCATGAAATTAGTTTATTCAAGAGAAATTGAAGTGTTTAGAAGAAATTCTGTGTTTTATTCTTCTGTGTTGAGCCATGAGAAATGTGCTTTTTAGTGATGCTGGAAAAATACAGTAAGTAGCTTATAAAACAATTATATTTCTAAACTT